GTATTCAGTTAAGGGGTTAATTAGCGGTGAGATCAGTATTCAGTTAAGGGGTTAATTAGCAGTGAGATCAGTATTCAGTTAAAGGGTTAATTAGTGGCTGATTGAGAGCTGGACTGGACCTTGCTGGTCACTCCTGTACCCCCCATTCCACCCTGCTCCAGAAAGGAAAGGCCGTTGTGTTTTGGGAGGGAAGTTAATTCATCTGGATTCCAACCTGAAAGAACAGAGGCGTTTGCTTTTGTCAGAAACCTTTTGGATTCTGACAGCCTAACAAGGAAATTGTCTTCCTAAATTTGCCACCATCACAGCGTGCTCTGCCTGGTGAGTGTCTGTGGCTCCTGAGCTCGCAGGCAGGAGAAGCCAGGCTCTGGAGGTGTCACTAAGGAGGTGTCACACATGTCCCAGCTCACACCGAGCCCCTCCCAGCGATTCCTCGCCCTGCAGCTGCCGTGCAAGTTCGGTCTCTGGGTGCCCTGCAGCCTTAGGTGCCGCTGCTGCACCTCAAAACAAGAGCTTAATTAGTGTTAATTAATTACCACAGCAGCTCGCTCCGAGCCGGACTAACTCACTGGCGGGCAATCCCGGAGATAGAAGATCCAAGGGCTGGGGATGTGCGGGCTGGGGGAGCAATGCCCGGCCCCAGCCCGGAGAGGAGCGCATCGCTCAGTCCGTTCGGGTGGGATCCTCATTTGCACATCAAAGCACAGCCAGGCTCACTCCTCCACAGCGCCGAGCCGAGCGGGGGAGTTCACGCAGGAAACTTCTCCTCGCCTGCCTCTGTGCCTGCTTCCCCGGTTGCATTTTGATTTTGGGGGCTGGATAAGCCCCAAAACACAAAAGAAAGTCGAGACAGAGTGGGTGAGTGTCACGTCAGGAGTGTCCGAGGCTCAGCGCAGGGAGGAGGTGGGTGAACAACCTCGGGAGCTGTTCCAGCACCGGCTCTCACAACTCTCTTCGCTTCTATGAAGTGACCGTGCCGTGGCTGACAAACGGGAAGAGACATCTCTCATTGCAGAGATCAAATTGCACAACAAATTAAAACGCTCCCTGCAGGCACCGCTGCTCCCTCTCCTCTCCAAGCCACAGRCTGCTCTGACTGCAGAGCAGGTACTCCCTGTCACCGGGGCTCACTGTCCCTTTGGTGACGAGTGCCAGGGCCAGGCTGGGCTCAGCGGGGACCGTGAAACCTCAGGGAAATGTGGTAACTCCCATTTGATCCATCACAGCTCAAAAATGGGGCTGCACTGCTGCGTTCTACAGGAACCTGCAAMAATCCAAACTGTCCATTTCAAATAAGGTGTTGATATAGGGTTTTCATATGTCCTCAGAGAGCAATTCAGTTATACCAAAATGAGATTAGAACTAGTTCTTCCACATCTTCTTGTTCTGCTTGCAGTTGCAGGAGCTGAGCATCCCACAGCTGCCATAAATCACCCCTGTAAATAGCCCTGGAYGTCCTTTGAACAGTGCAGCTGTTAGAGCTGGTGAGCACCCCCAGGAAAAGCAAGATGTTGTACTGATGTGAAATCTGTACCTCGGCATTGCTGAATTGGATCATCCATCCCATTCCAGCACAAGGGGCTGATTTGGCTGCCTCCTGCTCCTGCCTGTCTCTCTGCATCAGCTGCAAAGGAAGGAGCAGGGCTRTTCAGACCGGGATCTGAATGCCACTGCCTGAGGTGAATCCCATCCTGAGCAGAAAATCAATCCCTCTGCATTTCCACKTTTCCATCCCAGCTCACAAATACCCGAACTATGCTGCCATTTGGTGTTAAATCAGCCCTTCTGCAGCCCGCTGATCCCTGCAGGTCTGGAACATATTTCAAACCTGTGAGGCCATTGACAACTTTTTCAGCACCTCAGCAGGGGCACAGGGATGTCACTGGAGTTGCTTTGCAGCTGAAAAACAGCTCTTGGGTCTGACTGGTCTTTAATCAGCACAAATTGGGAGATGTCTGTTGAAATAAAGCCTGAAACAAAGGCGAGTTTGTGGTGTAGGGATGAGGGAGCAGAAGCAGGGACTTGAAAGGACTCGCAGAGACTCACAGGGACTCACAGGGACCGGGCTTTAGGTGCTGCTGATTAAAGAAATGCTCCTGAAAGGCCTTCAGTGCTGATTGAAGTGATGCCTCTCAAGAGGCCTGCTTGTGCTTGGTGAGGTGTTTGGTGCCTCAGCCCCTGTGGCAGGCACAGAAAGGCACTCCCTGTGTGTACTGGGCAGATCAGGGGGACAGGAATCGCCTTTGGCTCCGAGCTGACCGCGGGACAGAGGGCTGGGCTGGGCTGTGTGATCCCACAGAGTGGGGAAGGCTTGGGATCACCCATCTGCCCATGAGGAAATGGCCTTTGGGGAGAAACCTCTTTTCCCAGCTGAAGAAAACGTGGGATGTTGGGGAAAGTGGTATTTCTGCAGCCTCAGAGTTGAGGGGGAGAGGCTGTGAAAATCCAGCCCCCGTTTAACCTCTGGCTTCACCCCGCTCGTGTGGTGGTTTTGGGGCTGGTTTGGAGGGATGGYCGCGGTGCCGGCAGATGGCAGTGCCTGTCAGAATTCCGCTGTCGGGAGATCAGAATTGCGCTGTCGGGAGATCGGAATTGCGCTGTCGGGAGCCCCGGGAATGTGCCCGAGCCGGGGAAGGTGTCGGTGACACAGCACGAAGCTCAGAGCCACTCGTGGCGCAGAAGCCGTGTCGGGCTGGGCAAAGCCCACCCATCCCAGCAGAGCCCCCCGAGCCCATCCCGCACCCCGGGACCCCACCCCAGTGCAGACACGGGGAATGGGGTGTGGGGTGTGGAAGGGAAGGGCTCCCCCAGCCCTGACCATGGCACACCAGCCTTGCCCAGACCCTGCTCCTCCAGGGCTGCTGGCTGGGCAGCACAAAGACTCCTTCCACATTTCCCAGCACAAAAATTCATTCCAAATCTTATTAACAGAGRTGAGATGGAGGAGGAAGCAGGGCTGATGCCATTGTGAAGGTGGCACTGTCCTTAGTGCTGGGGAAGCAGCGTCCGGGGAGCTGCTCTGAAAGACAACACTGTGATTTGGGGGGGGCTGGCTCCCCACAGGATGAATTTACTGCTCAGTGCTTTTAAAGTACATTTGAATGCTGATTAAAAACGCCCAAACTGTGACTCTACTCCCCAAACAGTACTTTTATAAGGTTATCACAGACATACCTCTAAAAGGTGAAATTAATTCTGCTGTAAAGTCTTTCCTGGCATTTATGAGCAGGCAGAAGATCTGATGGAATTTCCCAGGATTTGATCAACAGTTCATTACCTCGGCCTTTGCTTTCATTGCAAGTGGTTTCAGTGCTGATTGGAATTCAGCCCTGAGCTGGTGCAGCCTTGCTGGGCTGCCCTGAGCAAACCCTGCTGCAACAGGAGCCAGGCTGGCTGTGCTGAGCTCACTGCCCACGCTGCGCTCGAGTGGCAAACACGAACTAACAACTGCAACAGCAAAATATGATTTAACAACCGGAAAAATATGATCTAACAACTGCAACAGCAAAACTACACCTGCAAAACTGATTTTTAAAGGCCGAAATCCTTGATCTGGCTCCAGATTCCTCTCCCACCTGGACAGACCCAACATCCACATCAGAGCAGAGAACAAGAGCACTGATAAAAGGAGTGTGTGTACAGAGATRGGCTTTATTCTCCCAATCCCTGGGCAATTTGACTATTAATAAAATTCAAACCTGTGGTTCTTTCCCTTTCTTCGGCATGTCTGTCTTTGATTTTTTTCCAGCCTAGTCTCCATAATAAAGTGTTATGTAGCCTAGGTTTAAGCTGGTTAAGAATCAAGTTCTCTGATCTACATGAAGTTCCATTAGTTCCATTTTCTCCTTATTCAAAAAAAAAAAAAAAAAAAAAAAAAAAAATCCCCAAAAAAAGAATGCAAATAATAGATTGCAAAATGGAAATATAGGAAAATAAAAATAGCATTCCAATGCTGATATATTTCACTAGTGATAGTGTGTAACTTTTAAAAAAGTAAAAATTGAAAATCATTCAAAGCAGAACAAAAAATAGCTTGCAGATTCCAGCAATACCTGCACATTCCTGCACAGTGYTTTGGTTTGGGTAAGTTCTCTCTCCCTGACCAGACAAATCTTCTGTGAAAGCCTTTCTGATGGGCTGTAATGYGTGTGCTCCTGGAACAGGGAATTAGGGAGGACAGGGGGACAGGGCTGCGGGAATAGGGCAACAAMGCCTGAGGGTAACCTGCGGTCGGCTGGAAGATCTGTCTCCAATACGCAGCTGGCCTGACATTTGCTTTTCAGAAAAGGAAATATTTCACTAAGCTGGGGAGACAGTGTGGTATTATCAGTGACAAAGGGAAAAAAAATAAAAAGAAAAGAAGAAGAAAAAAGAGAAAGAAGAGAAAAGAAAAAGACAAAAAAAAAAAATACGGCAAAGCACTGAAGCGCTTTGAGAGCACTGCCGGGGACTGGCTGGATCCCAGGCAAAGCCCACAACTCCGTCAGCAAACACCAGGCAGGAGCTTGATGGGTGACAGGCAAGGGAAACAYGCCAGGGGAGTCACGCTCTGCCCCCTTTTCCCCATTTCCCACATTCCCCGGTCCAGCCCGACACAGTTTCCACGGCGCCGGTGACGATTTTCACACGTGTGAAATGCGCTGTCCCTTCCTCCTGGTTTTTAGGAGCCGCTTTCTGTTTGTGTGATTTTGAACCAAAAGCACCGCTCCCACCCCCCGAAGAACGCCAGCCCAGGAAAGGCGATCCCGGGAGGAGCTCGGAGCGCTCGGTGCCGGGGGAGCCGCCCGGAGCCGCTCCGGTCGCGCCCGGGGAGCTCGGGGGTCTTTCCCGAGCTCAGCGCTCCTGCCATCCCGAGCTCCCGAGAAGGGATTCGCCTCTCCCCCTGCCTGCCTGCCCACCCTCCATCCCTCCATCCCTCCCTCCCCTCCCGGCAGCGCCCAAACCCCTCCCTCGCCCCCCCGTGCCTGCGCTCATTGAGAACAGATAAGGCGCCGTCACACGCAGCCTCCGCGCCCTCCCTCTGCCCCAGCCCTTCAAAAGCTCGGGACCACCACGGATCCCTCGGAACGGGGAGCGGGGAAAGGCGGGCGAAAAGAGAGGCAAAAGTGGCCCCGCGGCGGCGGAGGGTGAGGGCTTGGAGCGGAGCGGGGAAATCAGGGATACCCGGGGACAGGGGCGTGGGCATCCTCAGTGCCACATCAATGTTTGCCGCCAACAGGCAGCGGGAAGGAGGCGGGAGGCAGCCCGGGGATCCGAGGACGATCCCGGCTCCCTGGTGATGGCATGGACCGGCCGCTGGTCCCGCAGCAGCGCTCAGCCCCGGCCCTGCCCCCGGCCAGCTGCCCCCAGGAGCTCAGGCGCGACGCTGATGCGGAGCAGCTCGTAGCAAGTAAGTTACCGATTCCTTTGTTATTCCAGGTTACTCCTGGTGTTCTCTGGCTGCAAAGGACCAGGAGCCCAGCAGACAGCAGGACAAACGCGGAGCTGCTGGGCCAGCAGGATGCCAGGCTCCTATGCCCAAAGMTACCGGGGTGCGAGCTATGAACACGCTCCTGCCTAATTCACAGCTGCCAGGGAACTCTTTGGGAAGCCAGGGATTGGATGCTGATCTTGGGCAAAAGCACAGTTGGATCTAAAGGTGTGATGCAGGAAAAGACATTAAAAAATAGGAACTGCTCAGATACAGGATTAGTGGAGATCTCTGGAATGCAAAGGGCGCCAGGAGACTGATCGGCGAGCAGCCCTGAATTGTGTGGAGTGACTCCATAATCCTTATCTGGACTCCAAGATTAAATTCTTTCCTAATTATCATACTTGCCAGTCAGCTCTGAGTTACAGAGCCCCGGCAGTGCAGGCTCCAGACCAGGCAGTGGCGTATCCAGCCCTCGGAGGGGTCAGGGAATGCAATGCACTGGGGATCCCTCGGGGGTTATGCCCTGGGGGGTAAAAGCTTGACTGATTTTTTCACCAGTGTCCTGTTGCATCACTCAGAAGGGCGCCTGGGGTTCTCTCTGTGGCAGCACACGGTGGCTGGGAGCACCAGGTTAACTTTCACACACCATCTTTCCCTCGGGTTTGAGCAGGGAGTTTCAGGAATCAGCTGAGAACTGGCAGGAACTGGCCTTGCCCCAAAAACTTACCTGTGGCTTTTGGAGATTCTGTCATCCAGCAGCTCATTTTCCCTTTAGGTAAAGCTTGGATTTGTGGAAGAGGGTGTTGGGGGAAGCCAGGCTCTCTGAGCAGCTCGAGCAGCCAGGATGTGCCAGAGAAGGTGGGGAGTGTTGGGGCAGTGCCTGTGCTGGGGGTTATTTCACCTCTGGGGTTCAGTTCTTTGCCCCACTGTTCCTACTCAGCTGGAGATAAATGACCAGGATCATTTCTGATTCCCATGGCAGAAAATTCTCCATCTCTGGAAAGTTCCAGCCCAATTATTTGGCATAAAAAAAAAGGCAGTCAGAGCTTTGGAGTCATATTCCAAGGCAAGTCTCCAGACCTCTCTATTTGAGTCACCCGCTTTCTMTTTGTTTGAGGTCAGGAGAGGCACTTGGACAATTGGGGTGAGCTTTGGCCCTTGCCCAACAGCTTGGTATGAGCGTGGTTTGTCCCTCRGTGACTCCTGTCCCCCTTCTGCAAYGGGCTCAAGCACTGCTGGAAGCCTTGGGGCAAAAAGAGCCTGTGTTTGCTCAGTCCATCTGTGAATTCCTTTCACGAAGGGTACTGCACAAGTGTGGAGAGGTTCAACAATTTTACTGTATTTTTTTAAAGCAGCTGCAGATTACAGAGTGTTTCTCTGCTTTTGTGATGGTGAATTCCTAAGCAATGGAGAATGAGAACATTGGTGCTCCTAGGGCAGGATTTTCTCCTGGAACTGAGACTCTGCTTTCCCAGCATTCAGGGTTTGCTGTTCAGTTAAACAGCCAGGAGCAGGAGGAACAGGAGGAACAGGAGTGTCTGATCAGGACAAAGATGTCCCTGTCTTTGTTTAGCTATGTTGGCTGAAAGACAATGGCCAGACTGTCGATGACACCATAAAGTGTCCCTAAAAATAGAGTTGGGGTGAGAGGCCAGGGACAGAGAGGCTGCAGAACACCTCAGGCACTGACACTTCYTGGGAGGTTGAAGGATCAAATTGATTTATGTCCAGGCTTCATTTGTTRTTGGTACAGAAAATATCATTTGACTGCTCCAAATCAAGGAAAACACCTAAGAGCACAATGTTGTGACTGCATCCTTTGCACAGGGACTCGTCATGCTCAAGGTCTTTGATGCAATGAAGTTGAAGAGAATTGCCTGGGAGTTACAGGGATGAAATCTTCCCATCCACCCCGGGCAGTGGAACTATGCAGGTGGGAGACACTCCTCATCTTGCAGGAACTCCATATTCTCCTTGTGCTCTAACAAACTGTTGAAGCCTGTATAATGCCTCAAAAGGCATTTTCTACTTTTCATCTTTTTTTTTTTTTTTTCTGTAAAAATACCCCACCCTGTCTCTCTCCTCATTGCAGTTTAGTTTCTCCACTCTTTTCTGTACAGGTCTGAAGTCATTATATTTAATGCAGCTGTGAATTTGTTACACTGTGTTACGTGTGGGGGGTTTTATCCTTCAATCCATAGCCGAGGGAAAAAATTGTATTTGAAACCTGTAGCTGTTTGAGAGAACAGAAAGTGCCTTGGCTGGCTATGGAAATGATCTTGCTGGGTTATTCATCCGATGGGGAGGCTTTGCAGAGAGATCTTCAGACACACCTGAAGCAGACAGGGACTGCATTCCCTGCTGCTGGAGTGGGAAAGGAGGAAAGAATCCTGCAGCAATTCCAGGTGCTCATTTAGGATTTTGAAACTGCTAAATTTAATTCCTGCCCTGCCACACACTCMCAGTTGAGTGTAGAAGAACTAAACTCTTTATGAGTGACTCCCCTATCCTGAAATATGGCAAATAGAGCTCTTCTTTGGTCCAGGGATCTTGAAAAATGCATAAATYGAATTTCACAGCACAGGGTGCCTGTGCTGAGTGCTGTGAAACACTTGGGTCCCCTGGGTGGTGATGTTCCCCCCTCACCACTGACAGTGGTGAAGCTCYGGGGTGTCAGAGGGGAAGGATGGACTGGAAGGGACAAGGGAAGTGCAAATGCCCATAAACCCTTCTGTGGGTCAGATTGGCTCCCTGGGCACAAAGATTTTCTTTGGACAGACCGAGCACCTTCTGTTGGGTTATTTGTGAGCCAAGGGGACTCTGAGCACAGCCCAGCTCTGTGATGGACACAGAGCCACTCTGCCCCTTTAGGGGAACCAGCAGCCACCCATCTCTGTGCCCTGCTGGCAGCGTGAGGTCTCCTCCAGCCCCACAGGRATCTGCTGTCACATCCTGAGGGTTTCACATCAGGAAAGCAGAAAGCAGTGCTGAGATTTACCAAAAACCCACAGAGGAGATGAGAGGCACCTTCCCCGCTCAGTCCTGAGCGAGGTGACACTTGGAGAGGCACTGACTGGGATCAGGGAGCTCATGAATCACATTTGTCCAGGAAGTGCCCCAGGTCTCCCTTCTTGAGCAAAGTCCTTGAATCTTTTTCCCTGGATCTTTTTTTTGAGGAGCACAACTCTTGTGCACCTTCCCTCCACCTGTGGATCCTCAGGCACTTCCCGAAGAGACAGCTGCCAAAATGCCAAACCTCTGTTTATATGGAGAGATGGAATATTCCATGATTTGCCCCGAATCCCCCTGCACCCACAGGGATGTGTGGAAAGGCTCTCTGGGGCTGTTCAGTCCCACTCACACACAGGCAGTGAAGAAGAGCATGGAGGTGCCTTTCCCAGAGAAATCAAAGCCCCACCTAAGTCAGAGTCCATCTAAAGTCATTTGTTTTCAGATTATCAAAGGCCATCTTCTAAGGTTCCTCTTTCCTCCACATTCCCATCAGCAGCCAATGCTTTTATTCTCTTTGGTGCTGATGCTTTAATTTCCTTTATTCCTGCACCAGCTTGCCCACGGTGCTCCTGTCTGACAATTAAGAATTTCATTCTCTTGCAGCACTGTAGCCTGAAGCAGAAATATGTGGCCCAGAGGAAACTGGGCCCAGTAACCTGGTTTATGTRGTTGCAAAAGAGCCAGGTCAGGTTTTTGAGTTATCTCTGTTTAGTGTTATTGGTTGCTTGTTGAGCAGTACAGGACCCATTGTCTGGAAAAAAAAAGATGACAGGGTTAAGTAAAAAAATACCCTTTTGGGAAGGTGTGGGAGGTTTGCTAAAGAACAGTTGCTCAATTATTCTCCTAATGTGAGAAAACACYGACAGCAGGTTTAAAAGAAACCAAAAGAAGTCTGCTTTTACACAAACTCGATGACAAATTCAAGTCTTCAAACTCCACCTGCCTGCCAGTTTAGTCCTCTCCAACATCAAATTCATCCCCATGGAAATCTGTGTGTTTGCTGCAGCCAGATCAGCAATGGTTGAAAAGGAAAAAAAAAAACTCTGGTCAGCAGGGTAAGAAGTTTCTTCAAGTCTTTTATAGTTTTACCTTCTGTGATGTCTCTGACAAATTGCTGGGGCTGCCAGGAGCACATCAGCTCTGCCAGGAGGGGCTGGARCTGCTCTGCCAAACGCTGCCTCCTGGAGATTCTCACCCAACCCCAGCCTGGCTCCTGTGCAGCAAATCCCAGCCCCTAAATGTCACCGCCTGCCCCGAGTGTGTCATCTGGGCAGAGCTGAACAACAGCAGGGCTGATAAAAACCTCTCTGCAAGGCTGATAACGCACTGACTCACAGCTCYGCGCACAGCAGCCTGTCCTAAAGGAAGGCAGCTCTGGACAGAAGTGACATTTTTATTATCCTGGCCTCGTTTAACCAAAGATGGGAAATGCCAAAGAAACAGGACACTGCCTGTGACTGTAAGAGGCAATCTCAGCTGGTGGCTCTCTGAGCTGGAGGGAGCAGGGATTTAGAGACTGCAGCTGAAATTTCTGGGGATGATGGACATTTCCCATGCTGTGGGGTGTTTATACCTGGCAGCAGTGGCTGTGCCTCGCACAGTGAAGGGTTAACCAGATCCTTGCACAGCTCCACTGCTCCTTTCAGGGTATCTTTGGGTCATTTGGGTAAACTTTCCCAGGGTAGTTAAAATCACAAAGGAATGACAACAAATTTCCTAGAAGATCCTCGTGCTGGGGATCTCAAAGACCATTCATATCCAGATCACAAATTTTACTGCTGGGGAATTAAGGCAGAAGGAAAAGCAGTGATTTGCTCAGAATTAGAAAGCCCTGGAATCATTTGGAGCAGAAATCTGCCTGGTGTGCAGCCATCCAAAGCTGTGCTCAGCCAGGAGCATTCTGTTTAAGGACTGGAGCAAAAATTCATCTGCTGAATTATTTCAATAACCACAGACTGAGGTTGTGCTCACACTACAATGGGAGAGTAAAAGATTATTTATTAGGAGGAATTGTAATGCCACTGAGGCTGTCAGTAAAGTTCTTCTCCAGCAGGAATTTTTCTGCTTTACTGGATCACCTGTGAGGTATTCSTGAAGGTTTGCAGAGATGCTTCAGCTGAGCTGTTGTTGGAGATGTTGCCAGCCCTGTGAGTGCTTTAGTTGAAAATGTTCCCCTGTACGTTCATTAATGGGCAGTTCCTGAAACCTGCTCCACCAGAGTGATATTTCCAAGGATTTAGGATTTTTGGTTGCTTTTACTCTATTCTGTTCCTTGTAATAAGTTTTAAGACTCTTTTGGTCTCTTTGGTGTGAATCTAGAACACGAAACCTTCCACTCTAGACTGTTGTCTGGAAATCGATCGTTCTTTCTCCCATGGCACCMGTGAAAGCTTCAAATTTACTTTTATAACAAAGTCACCTTTAAAACAAGTCTTTAAAAACTGAAAACATGCAACACTTGCCTGGTTTCACACTTAGATTGATGACAAGCTTTTTAGTCCAAATGGAGTAATTTCAGATTAATCAATCAATGCAAACACACATCAGGAATATTATTTGTAAGAAGGAAGTGAGGAGGTTCTTCACTACCTGATTCCCAGTGGATGGGAGGCCTGTTTCTCTGCTGAAGAGGGGAGAAGGTGTGTGATTGTTCTGYTTTCATGGGAGGTGCGGGTCAAGCTGTGCCCGTGTCATTTTTCAGCATCTCGCAGCCCTTTGCACACGTTTAAAGGCACCACRTCCACAGTGCCCACAGCCAGAGCAGCGGGTCGGGAGGCTTCCACTGCAGGCAGAGAGAAATGTTTGAGATGAGTGTGAATAAACCCGGAGCCAGCTCTCAGGAGGGGCAGAAGCAGAGGAAGGTGACTGCGCTGCCCAAATCCGGGCTGTTCGCACCGGAGGAAGGGAGCGCACAGCGCCGGGATTATCCATCGCACACCCAGAGCAGGCAGCAGCCGCTCCCTCGCCATTTGCCATGCCAGCAGCACAAACCCCGGCTCTGTGCCCCCCTCTCTGTGCCCCCGGCAGTGCCAGGCAGGGCTGTGGCAGCGGGAAGCAGTGTTGGGCAGCACTGGGCACAGATGGTGCTCTCCCTGCGGAGCGCAGCCAGCGGGGCTGGTTCCAGCAACAAACTCCGGCTGCTTCGTTGGAGCAGAGATTGATGGCCACTCAGACAAGGGCCACGAGGAATTCTCTGCCGTTAACCAGACTTGGCTGCAGCCAAACGCAAGTGGAAATTTGTTGCTTCGTTTATTCATTCTGCCTCTGCTTCCCTCCCGCCCACCCTTTGTGCTTTTTAATACCAAAAAGATGAAGCTGCTTTGCTCGGTCTTAAAAATTGTCTCTCCCAAGATACCCTTAATTGTATCTCTACACCTTTTCTCATTCACAGACGCATAAGAAGATTAAAGATAGAGGGAGCAGTAATAGATTTAGTTAGGTTTTAATAGGATTTGCAGAGGACAATGCGGGGAATGAACGCCATAGAAAATATTGCTGCTCTATCTTTGATATCCCTAAGGCTCCTTAGGTAGTCTTTGACAGAGATTTTGTCTGTGCCCTGCATCCAGAGTCAAGACTCTCATTTTTTAAAGGAGTATCTAATCATCTCGATAAACAGGATGTTACATTATAACTGGCAGAAAGCACTGCAGCCTTCATCTCATGTTATTTATTTGTATCCTGGTAAGCATAACTCTGGATGTCGACAGTGGCATTTTTAATGGCTCTCTGATGCATTCCTGAAAGTGTCCCGTGATTTTGTCTAATGTCAGCTGGAGCAAAGGGGTGAGCTCTGACAGATCTCGTTAACAGCAGGCCTGGATTCATCACCCCTTCACACGAGGGATTCAAGATGCTCAATTAAATGTTTATTTTGCATTTGAAGCCAAGGCTCACGAATGAACTTCCAGAAGGTGATTCAGCACTCCTGAAATCTGAATGATCCCTGGAGATGCCTTTCTCTGCTGACTGCAAGGGAAGCCWTCATGCATAATTTAGACTCATGTGAGATTTAGGCAGACAGTGGTGCTCAGGGTTTTCTCTTAATTTCTAAGGTTTCTCTTGATATGTATCCAAAACGTAAAGCATCAAAAAGCTCCAGTCTCTCCTGAAAAGATGTTGATGTATCTTTACTATGTTCTGACTTGTGCTCTCAAGCACTTTTGGTGTGTTAAAAAAATCTAAGGGCAAAAAGAGACCCAAAATGTTCCAAGGCTTAACTGTTCCACAGGGCCACAGTGTGCCCATCATCCCAGCAGTGGCTGGTGTGTGAAGGGCCTGTGTGTTATAAATCAGTCTGTAATTCCAGGTCACTGCAGGGCTGTGTCTAAAAAGTTGGTATTGTGGGAGAAGGGCTGAAACCTCCAAAAGCCACATCCTGATGGTCCAGGCAGTGAAACAAAACAGCTTTTGTCCCTTTCCTTCTGTCTGAAACTCTTCCCTTGTTGTGCAGCCCAGCCATGGCTGGAGATTCCCGGATCTTCATGAACCAGGACATGGACATCGGGGTCACATCCCGGGAGCCCAAGAAGATCCCCAAGCAGGCTCGGGATGACGTCCCCATCGCCACGGACAGGACCCGGCTCATCTCCACCGAGGGCAAGAAGCCACGGCAGCGCTACATGGAGAAGAGTGGCAAGTGCAACGTGCACCACGGCAACGTGCAGGAGACCTACCGGTACCTCAGCGACCTCTTCACCACCCTGGTGGACCTCAAGTGGCGCTTCAACCTGCTGGTCTTCACCATGGTCTACACCATCACCTGGCTGTTCTTTGGCTTCATCTGGTGGCTCATCGCCTACATCCGRGGAGACCTGGACCACCTGGAAGATGAGAACTGGATCCCCTGCGTGGAAAACCTCAGCGGATTCGTGTCRGCCTTCCTGTTCTCCATCGAGACYGAGACCACCATCGGCTACGGCCACAGGGTCATCACAGAGAAGTGTCCTGAGGGCATCGTGCTGCTGCTGGTCCAGGCCATCCTGGGCTCCATTGTCAATGCCTTCATGGTGGGATGCATGTTTGTCAAGATCAGCCAACCAAAGAAGAGGGCGGAGACCCTCATGTTCTCCAACAATGCCGTCATCTCCATGAGGGACGAGAAGCTCTGCCTCATGTTCCGCGTCGGGGACCTCCGCAATTCCCACATTGTCGAGGCCTCCATCAGAGCCAAACTGATAAAATCCAAGCAGACCAAAGAAGGAGAGTTTATTCCCCTGAACCAAACGGACATCAATGTGGGATTTGACACTGGAGATGACAGGTTGTTCCTAGTGTCCCCTCTCATCATCTCACACGAGATCAATGAAAAAAGCCCCTTCTGGGAGATGTCCCGCACCCAGCTGGAGAAGGAGGAGTTTGAGATTGTGGTCATCCTGGAAGGAATGGTGGAAGCCACAGGTAAGRATCTGTCAATGATCAGTCACAGTTTGGAGGAGGAAAGGGGTATGATCAAGGGYAGGTTGGCATTAGGATTTCACTGTTCATGTCACCTGGGCTGGGAACACAGTGGGGTTTGTCCTTGGGTAGTGCCTGACGCAGGTGGGGTGTCTGAGGTAACCAGCAGTGAAAGGTGGGGGCTTTAGCTCCTGTTGTGGGGTTTCACCCTCTTGTTTGTAGTGTTTCACRCTCATGTTTATTGTGTTTCATCCTCCTTTATAAGTCTGGGATTCAGGTGAGGGGTTAGTCCTGGAGCTGCCTATAATCATTTCGAACTGGTCCAGGGGAGAAAAAAAGCCATGGATTAAAGGAACTCATGAGGCCTCTGGTGGTCCTGTTTCCTGTGATCAAAATTCATGGTGCAAATCCTTTCCCATTCCTCCTCTGTATTAAAGACTGGCTGTAACTGTGCTATTTTAGGTACTGCTGTAGTGTGGATTTTAATGGGGGCTCTGAAGTGCCCGAGCCTCCCTGGATCCCATAAAGCAGCACGTGCTGCAGCTCAATGACTTGCACGTGGTGCAGGACACACATTCCCAGAAGGAGCTCAAAGAGGAAAAATACAGAAAGTGCTTTTGTGACTCTTGCAGCCCTGCAGCTGCTCAGCRGCTCAGACAAAGCTGGGTAATGGGAGATGGGGAGATATCCTCAGCCGTTCCCAGCTCCCTCCTCGGGGTGTGATTGTGACAGGCGATGAAAAAGCTCTGGCTGGGTGTGGTGAATGTGGAAAAGGGTGAGCCTCGGTTTTCTGAGGAGTGGGAGAGGTGTCAGAGGGCAGGGATGGTCATGGAGGGAGGGCCCACGGCTCTTTCCCACAGGAATCTCCTGCAGGAGCCCTGCCTGGAGCTGGGGCTGTGCCTGGCATTTCATCATCATGGGGCATTTCCCACTTGCAGCAAATCCTCTGTGCCAGCTTTGGGCAGGAGCTGGAAGCTCTTCCTGTTGCACTTGTGGCACAGCCAGCGTGTTCAAGCCCCTGAGATGCCCAGGTCCCTTCCAGGCAGGGTTTGCCAACCTGAGGTGGGCAGAATGCCTCCATGCAATCAGGGGGAAAGGGGGAAAGGGCTGCAGGCAGCTCTGAGGAGAGAACTTCTGCCTAAAGATGGACAAACAAAGTCAGAGATGCAAAAAGAAAATGCTTTTATAAACAGTTTTCTGCTTGGGTATTTCAGGGTGTTAGTTCTGAGCCCAGGGTTTTCCTTTGGGTGGTGGTTGGGTTTTTTTTTTTTTTTTCCTGTCTCGATGAGGTTCTCTCTGAATCATTAGCAGGGTTTGCAGCTTGTTACAAGCCCTCAGTGGTGTCAGCACCCTGTCTCACAGATCCTGCCCCGTGCTGAYGGTTAATGCTATCCCCTCCTGCAGATTTGCTCATTAGTCTCCAACAACCAGCAAAGGAAAAATCTTTGAAATTCTTGCACCCCAAATCTTTGCTCCTGAAGGCAGCTGTCCAGAGAGGTAATTCAGCTGAATTCTCCCTTTGGGTGATCAGCAGTGTCTGAATTTCCCAAACAGAGCTGATGGGAGGTGATGGATAAATTACATTCCACTGAGGCTGGAATGTTTGCTGTGGGAGTGGAAATCACCTGGCAATTCCAGAGAAATGTTCCTCCCCAGCAGAGCACTGTGGAGACACGGCAAAGGAAGGGGTGGGTGGAATAGACTATCAAAGGCAAGGATTTGTAACAGTGACTTATTCTGCAGCCTAAACATTTGTTAGAGGCTGGAATCTCCTAATCTGAGCRTGGAATGCAGTTCCTGGTTTGTCCAAAGCCTCTTTCCTTGTCACACACAGTGACACTGCATATGCTTTGAGCCCCTGCTGCTCTGCCTTCCTCGCAGAGATGTGGGAGAGGAAGTCATTATCAATAACAACCTCGGAATTAAAAGCATGGCACAGGGATAATATTGCCTTACAAATGGGCTCCTGTCCCAGAGGGATCGCCCAGGCCGGGCTGTAATGGCATTAAGGAGCGTACATCTSTGGAAATGAATTCTCCTGGGCTCAGGAGGGAGCCTGGGAAATCCCACACCAGAGCTGGAGGAGAYTTTTTGCACTGAACTCGGAGCTGAGTGGACCTTGGATGATTCCAGGATCCAATCTGGGGGCTGGGATGGGTCCTGAGGGACATATGGCAGCCAGGGGGGAGGGATATTTTGTCACAAGAACAGTGATCTGCAGAGMCATTGTTTGCAATTTCCTACTTAGTCCTCCTGTTTGGGAATATCGATAAAGCAGTTGGGCGTTATAAATCCCTCCCTCCACACCTTAAAATCTGCTCCAAGCAAATTGTTTAGGTCCTTCCCAGCCCGAGGCACTGCTCAAGCCCCATCTGCTCTCAGAAGGGGTGTGATATTTACTCCCAGCAGGACTTCTGTTAAATCCTGACACTGTCACAGCCTGGTCGGGTTCAGGGCGGTGTAAAACACCACAGACCATTTGTTCCCTTAGCAACCCCTTCGGAAAACTGGGAATCCCAGAGCTGGTCAGAATACACGGCTCTGTTTTCCATAAGCTGTTTGGAAAGCAGGTCAGAATGGGGACTGGCAACACATCAACGGCTGCAGAAATGTAAGCGTGACTAAAAGTGGGGATATTTGTCCCTGATAATTTGGGGCAGCAATTTGATAGCTATTTTCAGCAGGTTTAACTGGGCAGATTACAAAGGTAATGTATTGTCTCCTGTCAAACAAGCAGCTCTGTTTACTGACATTTCAGTTTAATTCTGACCCAGTGCAAGGCAAAGATGGTAAATAGCTTTAAATGAAAAGCGTAGAGTAAATTCTGAGCAGTTCACACCCTTCAAGTCATTGGGTTCTTTACAKAGTGAAACACTGTGGTTTAAAATGCTGATTTTGTGTTCAGGTTGCCTTGACTTTMTAAAGGCCTGAGTGACAGTGCACTGGAGAACAGCAGCTCTCCAGCCAGCCTGGGGTTTATTCTGCTGGAAAAAAAGAACAAAGACGGTGTTACTGCAGTGAGAGCTCTGGGGGCAGCCAGGGCTGCTGCAGGGACTGACCCACAGAGCAGCCTGGCACAAAGCTGTGGATGTGGCTTCTGCCATTGATATTTGGCATGGCTGAGGCACTGGGGCTCCACGAGYAGGTAGAAAAGGCCAAAGGGAGAGTGAGTTTCTGGACAGAGCTGCTGTGGTCATTGCTGGGTGAAACAAGCCCTGGGAAGACAGAATCAATACTGCTGACAGGGGTTCTGACCCCCAGGACCCCTCCGTGGGTGTCTCAGAGGCAGGAGCGTCATTCCCTGCACTCCTCAGGAATGGGGCAGGGATTCCTGCTGGGAATTCATCATCTCTGCCTGACCACAGAGGGACTCCTGTCCCTTAGATCAGCTGCCCCAAGCCTGTCCTGCAATAAAAGGAAACAAAACAAAGGTGGAAAATCTGTTGGCACAGTGAATATATTTTTGTTTTCCCCGCCTCTCTGCTTCCCAAACTCTCAGGGCCACTCTGGTGCCAGGACAGCTCCTGGCTGCTGCTGGTCAAAGCTCCTGCCCTTCCCCTCCTGGTCCCAAACTTAACACGGTGTCCCAAAGCTGCTGGGACAGGGAGGAGCAGGGTCCAGCCCCTCCTCCATGTGGGGCAGAGTCAGCGGGGCTCTCATTAAGGATTTGGCTGATCCAATTAGGGAACATTAGCAAGTCCAATTTTTTTAAATACTATTTTGCTCTGTAAGCCATCACTCCGTGTGCTGACACACTGCACATCCTACAAGACTTTCTGGCAGGTAATTTGATGGGACTCTCTTCTCTTCCAGTTTTACCCTTCCTCTGCCATTTGCTGACAATCATCCAAATCCTGCTTTTTCCATGGCTTCCTACTGCCCTGGTTCCTTGGGTGCCGTGTCCAGCCCTGCTGCTCTCTGTGCACAGAGGTAGCAGAATTGTTACTCCACTCCTGCTCCTCCCYGATTTTCATTGCCTCTCTTTCCCAGCACAATTAAATGAGGCACCAGAGACACTCCAGATGCCTGATTAGTCCAGACACTAAATGAAGTTTTAATGAACTCTTATGTAAGTACAGGTATATATTTTTCTGGCTTAGAGTCAGTGTGATAAAAAGGGATTTAATGATTAGAAGTGATTAACCCATCCTGTCCCTGCGGGAGTGTAGGCAAACAGCAGGGTTTTCACACCTCAATTTATCCACCTTTCCAGAGGACAGAGCAGTTTCCTGGCTGTAGATGTAGGGCCAAATGGACCAGTCACAACAAAAGATATGCTGAAATTAATCATGATTTTCACGGGAGAACAAAGGAAGGGTGAAATTACTGAATGGAGTTTCTGGGCATTCATCATCTGGTTTGGGTTGTCTTGTGTCGTTTTGCATTTTGCATATAAATAAGTTTTCTGCAAGGAGGACCTTGCAGAAGTGTTACAGAAACTACCTGAAAAATGACAGGGAAGAGGTGCCTCAGGTCATTGTGGTCACTCCTGAACTGGACTGTCCTCCAGAGCAGAGGGTGGCAGTGGGGTCTGAGGAGCCTCTGTGGTCACTGTGACCCCATGGGGAGGGGTCTGAACTTCCTGGGTGTGCACTTAGCTTGGGCCCTGCCTGGTGGAGACATGACAATTGAATCCAAGGTCTTTACATCATAAAGTCCTTTTATTATATTTTTCCCCTGTGCCTAGGAGCTTTTGCATGCCTGGAGAGCATTCCGATAAATTAAAATCCTATTACTCTCCTCTGGCATAAATATCAAAATGAATCAAGCCCAGCCATGTCCTCTAAAGGAGACAAGCACAAATAATTAAAGGACTATGCACCTACCTTCTAATATTCCTTTTCAACTTGGAGGAACATTGACTTTTTGGAGGTTACAATGTTCTTTGGTCTAATTAACACAGAGGAACTAATAACTTTTATAACTTGCCATATGTTAATGCAAATTGAAAGACACATATTGCTTAATTACAGCAATAGGACTTAAATATTTATACCTCCTCC